TTCACAATTGCAAAGATGTGGAAACAACCCAAGTGTCCATCAATACATGAGTGGATTAATAAAATGTGGTATATGTATACCATGGAGTATTATTCAGCTTTAAGAAACAATGGTGATATAGCACCTCTTGTATACTCCTGGATAGAGCTGGAACGCATTCTACTAAGTGAGGGATAGGAGTTTTGTCTTGAGCTGATGATCAACAGGATCCACTAGAGGTTCCTAAGGAGGCAGGGATATGATAAAAGGACAGCTTTTATGCATATAATAGCTTATCTGAAATAATGAGTTAATAAGCAAATGATGCATTGGGAAAATTAGTCAGGAATTTTTAAGTGACATTTATGTGAAAGAAGAAAGGGGAGAGGTAGAAAATCCAATTAGGTAGTTCCAGCTCCAATATAGTTATGAGGTCCTGAACTTAGAGGTTAGTAATGGGCATACAGAATACAGAGCTCATCTGAGCAAATAACGAAAAGAACAATGCTACGCAGCAAGAAATCAAACAGAGAAGATTACGTAGAACATAATGCATTTCATTGTACTTGAGATGTCATCAGTTAAAAGACGTACCACTATTTTATGCACCATTGAGAAAAAAAAAAAAGACCCTGTTAATTAAACTGGGACAGTTCATTTCTTATCATTGAGGACTTTTTATTTCATAGTTGTTGAAAGAGCTGTTTTAGACTTATCTAGGCATAGCTTTTGATTATATATCCATCCCAGGTATGTGTAAAAGGAAAGTGTAAGTGAAACAAATTGGTGTAGATATTCTTAGAACTTCTTCACATTTAGAATTATCAATTCAGAGTTGTTGATATTTAAGTTTTTCCAAAGAATAACTTCTTCTGTATCAAGACTGTTATTTCTTAAAAGTATTATTTCTTAAAAGAGTGCTCCACCATTTCCTCTGACATACTTCTGACCCCTATGCTGCAAATTTAGATGCTGGAAATGATCAAATTTATGAGGCACAAGAATGACAACCATATCAAGACTGCTACCAGTAGGGAGACTATAAAAGGCCAAAGATTATCAAGCACACTCAATTTCAAAGAGGTTAAATGTAAAAAATACATTCATCTTACAGCATATAAATCACAGTATCTGTATTTAGTAATTGCTTAGTAAATAGTGGCTACATTAATAATGGGACTCCAAAATTTCCAGCATGGAGGGTAAAAAGACTAATATTCTTGGCAGCAATGTATCAGTTAGAAATAGGATCCTGTTTTGATGGAAAGCAGCAAGTTTCACTTTGAACATGTTGAACTGAAAGTGAAAGCAGGTCATCTAATGACAGGTTAAGTTAATGGCAGTATACATTTCCGTGTAGCTTTCAACTACCCTGGTCTTATTTCTTTCTCTTCTGAACCAAATGTGACAAATTTGTATTGAATTATATTCTTTTTTATTTTGCATCTTCTATTTTATGTGGGTTTATCTTGACTCCTCATTAAACTTTAGATTCCTTAAGGGGTAAGACTATTTCTTATGCCTCCTTTCTACTCTCCCCCAGCACTATCCTATATACACTGACATTACCTAACAAACACTAGGGGATTCAATAATTGAGAACAAGATGATGCTTTATTTAAGCTGGGATGAATAATGATAACTAACATTTATTGACTGTTACATGCTAGCCATTGAGATAAAGCACTACTTATTACACACTAACCATTGAGATAAAACACTAGTCATGTATTGTCTTGTTTCGGCACCTCCACACTTTGGGGAGATATAGAAAATTAATTTTCATACTTGACTGATAAAACACCTGAGGCTGTTAAAAGTTTCACATTTAAAGGAGAAAAATGGCTTTGAGCCTGGCAGTATGATTCTAGAATTCACATCTTTCCCTTCACACTATGTTACGTTCAAGGAATTACAGCCTCCCTTCTTCTCACGATTATAGTAAACCAACCTCTAGGTGTCCTGTGTCTTGATTTGGTGAGTCACAGATCTGACTTTGACTGTTGATGGGAGAACTTCTCTTGGCTGCAAAGTGGAAGAAATTTCATCATGAATTTTGTAAGATTGTAAGTTCATTTTATTTCTTGAGTTCATTTCATTTTCAAATAAAAACCCCATTTTAATAGGTCATCATTACCTTAATATTATGTGTTGTAAAAGATATTAAATAATTAAAGAGTCTTAATGTTTCTAGGTTATCAATGCACATATTTATCTCTTCAGTCTGACTCAGTATGTTATGGTGCTAAAAAGTTGGCAATACTAAAAATAATGATTATAGTTAACATCTACCCAGCACCTAATATACGTTGTTCTTTTCTAAGCATTTTACATATATAGTCATGTGTCACTTACGGATGGGGATATATTCTAAGAAATACATCCTTAGGCAATTTCTTGTTGCAGGAACATCATAGAGTATGCTTATACAAACCTAGATGGCGTAGCCTACTACACATCTAGGCTATATGGTTTAGCCTATTGCTCCTAGGCTACAGACCTGCACGGCATATTATTGTACTGAATCCTGTAGGCAATTGTAACACAATGATAAGTATTTATATATCTAAACATAGAAAATATACAGAAAAATACAGTATAAGAGATAAAAAATAGTACACCTATATAGGGCAGTTGCCATGAATGCAGCTTGCAGCCCTGGAAGTTGCTCCGGTGAGTCAGTGAGTGGTGAGTGAATATGAAGTCCTAGGACATTAC